TTAGCGGCCTTCGCCGGCCAACCAAATTGCTCAGGTGAAGTGCCTGCACAAGTCCACGCAGGCATCACCTCCTGCAAAACATTCAGTCACGTGATTCAGAGCGTCAGATCATTCATGATTCACGATTCGTGCTTCGCGTGTGGTTGCCATTTAGTTCAGGTAATCAAGTTGAGCAGACAGACGAATGACCAGACGTCTTTGAGCCCGCCAAGCGAATTGAGTTATTATTGGTCAGCTGTCACGCTGGCGGTGAGCTTCTCATTCTTGATTCGTGATTTGCGTCTTACGTACACGTGCGCGTGTACGGCACGCTCACGGAGTCTCGTGAAGCCGTGCAGCAAGCGCAAATCACTGCACGCGGGTGAACGAAATGGTTAACTCTAGGGCGGGTGCACAATCCAGTGAGGATGTTGTACACCTTGCTCATCCTCGAAATTTACGGTCCTCGAATCTAGTCTGAGGAGATCATCTGGAAGGCGACGACCTTCCATGTTTTTCTGTGAGCGAGTCTTGAGCCTTGAGTCAAAGTTAGGTGGCGCCGACCATCTGCTTCACTATGTTCACGTGATTGACACGTGAGGGTCTGGTGCTGTGGAGGCCTCGGGCCGCGGATCTGACTCACGTGACCGACTGAATACATTCTCGAACCTTCTGCTTGTGCAAAGGCCAGCACGATACGCGAGGTTGTGCGTGAGGTATTCTGCCTGACGCCTACTCTCCTCTATTGCAGCTGCCCCAAACCTGCAAGTCCGACTCCCCCGGCGAGGCGCTGCCTGTGCTCCTCCCTGAGCATCTGCCCGTGATGCGCCCCTCTTCAAGCTCACTTTGACTGCGACTTCAGCTCAGCCTCAACCATCCGTCGAAGACCGCGCCACCTGTATTCACATTGGCCACAACCTCTTTCTTCAGCTTACACTCACGACTTGCTATATCGTGGGGGCAACAACTCTCGCGAACCAGTGCTGGTAATTTGCGCGTCACTATGCTAGAACGGCTCAACGGCGGCAGCCCGACTTCAGACGTGCCGGCGATGCCTACAGCACAAACCCCGCTGCGCGATTCTTGTCTGTCTGCACAGCAAGCGACTCGAGCAGATGCATCAGACGTCCACCTACCCAAGCTAGCGCATACGAGCGCAGGAAATCTTCTCGCGCTCACTAGCCGTCTGCGTCTGCACTTGCCAAGCGAACTCTAGGCAACTCACAGCATTCTATCACTCTCGCAGCTCAGCTCCACGTTGAGCTCGGCGTTGGCTCGGCTCACCAAGCAGGTGGCAGATGCGCCATTTGCCTCCGGCTTCGACGCCAGCGATTGAGCCTATTTGAGTCGACAATCGGGAGACACTTTGCAGTGTTAGCGACTATTGGACTCAAACGAGCGTGG